CTCTCCATAGAAGAACAGAGTTCCCCAAGCTCCCAGCCCCATCCTGGTGTTCCCCACACAGCTTTAGCTGCTCCAGGTCTCCTAAGAGATGAGTTTAGCCCCTGGCCCTGGTTGTTGGTGGTAGATGTGGGTGGCTGTGGAAAGCGTAGCTGTTTCCTGCCTAACTCCTACCTGTCTCCCTTCATTGTGGTTGCACTCTCCATCCCGAACCTCATGGCTTCCCAGCTCTTTGAAGCTGCATTTTGGCAGAGACACTGATGAAGTGAGGTCTGTGGTGTGCGGTTTTGAACTGGAGTGTGAGTCAATTTCCTGCCTAGGAGTGAGGGAGCCGGTGATCAGAAGGAAGATGAGAGAAAACAGCCAGTGTATGTAAAATGCTATTTTGTGGGGTTGTGATTGGTGATCTCAAAGAGCAAATGTCCCAGACGTGGCGAGGGATATTCACTCAAAGATGCTTCCAGATTAAAGTGCCCTACTCTAAAGTTTCCCTCATGGGCACCAAACAAACCTAATTACACTTCAAAACTTTGAGAGTGGTGTATGTTTGCTCCTTTGGCCCCAACATGAGAAGGACTGCCTGTAGGGACAAGAGAGATCTTGGACTCTCCTTGGTGCTCTATGATTACTGGGAGCTGGCTCAACCTGCCATGTAACTGCCAGTGGCCTGGGGGATGCAGTGAACGTTGGGAGAACTTCCCACAGCAGGTAGAGCTCTAGCCTTCTCCTCTAGCAGGGAATCTCTTAATTGTCTAGGGTAGTTCTCTGCTGAAGTATACAAGAGAATCACAGCACCACTTAAAATGGATGCCTTGGACTCTGCAGGTCTCAGTTACTATCTGGCATAAAGCATCGGGAACTCCCGTGCTAAACTATGAGCTTTTTGCATTTTGACCCAAAAATGCAGTGTGCACTCATGGGCTGACACCAGCTGTGCTGAGGAAAGCTCAGGAAAGTCCCATCTCCTTCAAGGAGACCAACAGCCATGTACTCCACCTAGCATTGCCATCCTCTTTGGAAATGTCTGGTTTTTAACCACCACTATAATTAATAAATGTAGTACAAATGTAGTACAGTGTCCTTGTTGGAGGGGTTAGAGATAAAGCTGTGCCTGGGCAAGAGTCACAGGTTGTCTTTGGAGACTAAAGAGCAAGGTAATCAATTACCACAAACCTGCCTGTGGGCCTTTTGTAAAGCTGGCTCCTTTCCATAGTAGAAATAATGGCAATATGTCCTTTGCCATTTTCCAAATGATTATTGTAAATAATATGTTGCTGTGATCCAGCAAAAGAGTTTTGAGATTTATGAGAGCGTTTGTCAGTGAGAGGAAAGCAGGCGGTGAACTCTGCGGGCTGGCAGTGAGCAGCACGGGGCAAGTGGCACATAAAATACTGAAGTCTCTGATTGCTCAGGTCCACTCTGTGTTTGCAGAAATGGGAGACAGGGACATACATCTCACCCCTCAGCACTGGCTGCCAGCATCACAGGTCACCAAGCAGATGGTACAGGAGCTGTTCTGAGATGGCAGGAGGCACGGAGAGGGTGGTGGTGATAGATTGCTCCTCTCCCTTCCCTGGGCAGGTTTGCACAGAAGGCAAAGGAGACTGTCTGATCCTGGATCTGTTGCCCCTTCCTGTGGTAAAAGCTGAGGCAGAGCCCTGTTTTAACAACCTGACTTGAAACTGAAGCTTGTGGCTTTGTACAGGAACGGATCCAGCCAAGCCTTGGAGAACATGCCCTTCTGAGTGCTTCAGCTTACTCTGACCATGTGCCTGCTTTTATTTTATTTTATTTTTTAAAGGCAGAACTAGGATATCAGAAACCTAGGGTGCTTTTGTCATTTCTTGTCTGTCTTGCATTTTAGAGCAGAGGGGTAAATCTACAGTTGCTTTGGGACAGACAGGTATCTTGTAAACGAATAGCTTGACTCTTTTTCCTGTTAAATAGCCTTTCATGGCTTGGTCAGTGTTGAGGATGGGCTTCTAGTGGGATTTGGCAGATAGTGCTGCCAGGGTGGAGTAAAAGAACCTCAGTGAAACTAAGAATCAAGCCCATGGTTTGGGAAGATAAAATAGCACATACTGATAGAAACACATGGCAAAGAAATGCATCTCCACATCATAATAATGGCATTTTCTTTTCCCTTCTTCCTCCAGGTTACCTTGCACCCCGAAACCTTCCTAGTGCAGGCTTCTTCCCATTCCTGCAGACCGTGCTGTGTGATTCAGATGCCAGATGTAAAGGCACACCATACACACCAGAAGATCTGCTGCCAAGACTTAATGACATCTCATCCCTCAGACTGTAAGGGAATCTGAATGTATCTGGGTGTTACAAGCTGTAAAGCAAAGCTTGCTTTGGGGTGGAGGGAGCAGCCATGCATGTCTGTGTGTGTGTGTCCACAACAGATATATCTCAGATATGTTATAATAGATATATCTCAGATACCTGTTATAACAGATATAGTCTCAGATATCTGAACAATTAAGAATGAGAATATGGGCTGCAACTTGGGACACTTTAAATCACTCAGATCAGAGCAAATAAACTTTTTTGCATGATTCAGTGTTAGGTCCTGCAGGGTATCAGTGGATAAGACTTGCAGCAAGAGCAGCCCAGCATGCTGATCTGCCACTGCAGTGATTGGTTCAAGATGCTTTGGGTGGAAGTGGCAGATGTTCCCCAATAGCTCTAGTTTGAGGTACATTTGTTCTGGAGTGACTGCTTGACTGCTCTTTCAGTAGATCTTCCACATGCCAACCAGAATGGGTCTCCTCTCTACAAACCATCAAACATACTGGGAAACAGATGAAAATGAAGAAACAAGTTTTCCTCACATGTAGATTTGCAGCATGGAGCTGACTGGACATGTTTTGTTGAAATGTCAGTTTGTTGAAATTGAAAAGTTCAATGGAGGCATTTCAATTTCATTGATGTTCCAGTTGGAAGCCAAATAGCATTTGCTTTGAGACATGCCAGCCAGGGTTGTTTCTACATCTTGGCTGTTGGTTCTGGCACACCCCTGGGGAACATGTCACTCTGAGGCCTGGCTGGTTTGTGGAGAGCTGAAAATCTGGGCATAGAAACATAGAATTGTTTTGTTTGGAAAATACCTTTAAGATCACTGAGTCCAGCCATAAGCTTAACACTGCCAGGTCTGTATCTCACATACAAGGTCCCTGGTTGCTCTTCTTCACTTTCAAGTGAGAAGCTTCTCCATAGTGGCTATGTCAAAGTCTCAAAATCCTCCTTGGCCAGAGCTTGAGAGTCTGAAGAGATAAGGTGGGCAGGATGAGGGATCCTGGGGTTGGTGGCTCCTCAGGGGTCCTCCTTAGTGCAGAGGGACTGGCATTTCCTGGGCCAAGTCAATGGTTAGGATCTCTCCATTGATAAGGAGGAGTCTGGATGACTCACTATGTGGATGACTGGAGTTATGCAAGGTGAATCCTAATCAACTTCAGGGTCAGGTAGCAGAAGAGGGCAGAGTCACACAGAGACTGGATGCCTGGATGCACAGCTCTTCACTTGTTTCCTTAGTGTCATTGTTTTTCCATGAGCATGTTAACCAATGGTTAACTTGGGGTATTGACATGAAGAAATGGGAACTTTCTAGCACCAAAGTTGGAGGTCTTCCATGAGTATCAATAGCTACAAACCCTCCTTGCTTTCTGTTTCTGTACAGTTGTTTAGGAAATAACTGGTTTTCCCTGCCAACTGAAAAATCAAAGGATTTGGCCAAACTATAGCTCAAGTCACATGAGTCACTAATAAGCATGTTAACCACTGTTGATACTAAAAGTTGATGGCGTGAAGTACCACACAACACTGTGGGTATATGTACCTTTGTGTGGTCAATGTCAGCCTTAGAAATATATTGTATTCTGCAAGAAAAAACACCAACTATTAAGTAGCCACAGCCAAACTAGCAGGATGCAGTAGAATATAAAACCTCAGCGGAAGATGGACTGGGTAGAGGAAAGCTCCAGAAGTCAACATTAATAGATGCAACTCTGCCTCAGGAGCAGAGTCACCGTGGGTGAGTTTGTCATGAAGGCAAATTATTTGAGCTGTGACCCTTCACTGTCTGGATATATTATTGTGTAATATTCTAGCATTTGTAATATTCAAGCATTTGTAATATTCAGCTAATCCAGACTGATTTTTTTTTTCCCCTCCCATTGTGCAACTCACTGAAGCTCTTATTAAACTGTTTTATAACTTACCTTAAAACTGTGGCTTCCCAGTGGCCAGCAGAGAAAATGAGCAAGGTTCTTATCTTTGGTTCTGTTCCTTAGAGGCATTTACAAAGGTGTGCAAGACATGGTTGCTCAAGATTTCCCTTAATAAAAGGAAACTAAGTACAGAAAACCGAGCTCAATGCCAACATCTTCCACCTTTTCTATTCCCTTGTGGTGAAATGTTTGTGAAGGATGAAAGTAAGGTCCTGGTGTCTTGAAGGATTTCTTGGTAGGGGTGTGTAACCTGCTGTTATCGCTTAGAGCTGTTCCAGCTTACATCAAGGTCTCTCTGCTCAGTCCAAGTGTCATGAAGTTCTGCACTGTTTCTTCCACTGAGTGTGTGTTGGTGGAGGACAGAATAGGACTTGATCCAACGAGGCCTTCTTTGCAGAAGTGGGAATTTAAGATTAGACCAAATACACATGTCAAGCCTTGCCTGTCCTTGGTGTCCCTGTAGAGCAGGCATGAATGCGGTCCCCTCCATCTACTTCTTGCCTGAGAGCGCTGCAGTGTCCTTCCCCAAAATACATGCCAGGCCTCTAGAAGGAACCAGACTTTTGCATAACCCAGATTTCAACACACTTGCCATGAAATCCATCTGTAGACCAATTCTGAGTCATGCAGTAGTTAAGTGTTAGCTTACTCATAAGAAACTCTGTGAGTTGTTACAGGTGTCTTTTTTTTTTTCCTTTTTTTCTTTCTTTTTTTTTTTCTTCTTCTTTCTTCCCCTAGTAAGCGGAGGAGCTCATCCAGTACGGTCAAGGACAACCAGCCATCACCATGGAGTACAGAGGTTCCTAAAAGCAGGAACACTTCGCTGGGTAGGTTATTCACTGCTGTGCAAAGTTCTGGTCTTTAAAGGCTGATCTTTTGAAGCTTTCTGGACAGAGATGCGATTCTTAGAACAATGCTAAAATGATTTATGTGATCTATACAGGCATGTGACAATGGCCATGACATTAGTGTAAATTCTTGGGAATAATTATAAGTAACAGTCTGTAGAAAAGACTTTTGGAATTTGGCCAAGAAACCAGAATGAAATTGTTGTACTTCCCAGGAGCAATCTGAGATCGCAGACTGTTTGGACATTAATTAAAGATCTGGCTATTTATGAAAGATTGCCCTTTTACTGCCCACAAATTGTCCAAAACCAGCTTATTATTTTTTTTCAAATGTTTTTCTTATTCATAGTTATCTAGCAAATAAGTTGTATTCTGTGCCACAGTGGATTTTTATTGTTGGTGGTGTTTCCTCTGATGTGATTCTCTTTCATGAAGGAACTTTCAGACTTAAATTTTCCATGAAATCATTACAATTATTATTTATTGATGGTAATGGCTAGTACTATCTGCAAGCCATCATGATGGATAGTCCTTTCTCTGGGGAGCTCATGATCAAATGAATGATTACAGATTTGCATTCTGTGACTGTTCTGCCCCAGCCATTCACTAATCCCTGCCAGTGCGTTCACTCTTTGGTGTACAGGCAGAAAAAGGCAGAACACAAAAGGGACTGAATTCAGAGGCACTGGGGGAAAAGAAAATAATCCATGAACAGCTATGGGAACTATCAACTCATATTGATGGCCATGGATGATCAGGAACCAACTCAGTTCTACATCTGATGTAAAAATTAAAATAAAAATCATAGGTCGTAGCTTCTGCTGGTGTAAACTGGTGCAGTTCCTTTGGTTTTGGTGAGCGGTGTCGTTTTGAGAGTGCAGCTCAGTGCAACTGTTGGCTTTGGTGTGTGTCAGCTGGGGACCTGGTGGTGTGCCACCATGTCTAGCAGGCAGCAGTGCTCCAAATCTTCTCAGGGCTGTTTCTGAGTAATGAGTACCACCCACTGGTGCCAGTGACACCTGGAGACTTCTCCCTTACAGGGCTATTGGCTTGAGACGGTGTGGGCATCCTTGTAAGGCTACCCATGTCTCTTCCTGCATGGGGGAGCTTCAGGACTGGAGAAGAGAGGTGTAAATTAATGTTGAACCGCAAGCAGATATGTAAATGCATTTAATTTTAAAAAGTTACATAAGGAAATAATGTAATCCAAGATTTAATTACATCAGGAAAAAAAAAAACCTTAAGTAAGTAATTACACAGTGCCATTGGCTGTACCTTTGGAAACAGGTTAATAATGATGGCATGCCCAAAGCTGTAGTCAGCTATCCTTTGTCATGATTTGATGTAGCAAAAAGGTTAAAAGACATTAAATAAAATACAGTCTTGTTATTGCAGCATTTGTGGATTTGGTATCTCATGGAGAAAAAACCCTTCAGAATATTTCATCACCATCCAACTTGACTTCCAGTATCAACATGTTCAACAAAATCCTCAATTTTGGGAAGGTAAGTCTGTATTTATGTAATACCTGAGTGTGAACATTTATGTATAGTCATGTTTAAAGAGTTGGAAACTCAAAATACCGACATACAGCTTTTATTGCTTTTGGATTTCCCCTGTTATGTGAATGTGCTTTATTTTGTGAAAAGGAAGACAGTTATTGTGGGTGGACTTTTAAGCTCTGTGGTAATTTATTATCCTCTAAACAGAAAGCAGATAAACAAAATAACTCGGGACATAATACCATGAATTACCAAATATGGCCACACACAACACCCTGAGATATTTTGCTCAAAATTTGTGTGAGTTGAGGTGTTGAGAACATTTTTCCTTTCATGTGAAATTAAAAATATGGTGTCACAGCCATTGGATTAATTATTTGCCCACAATACTCTGGCAGTGGCATCAGGGGCACCATGTGTTTATTATGTAGGTAATTGACTATGTATAGGAACAACTCCTTTGTAACAAACTTGGTACCATGTAATGGACACCAGTATGCTTCTGTTTTTGTGTTAAGGCCTACCAACACTTATGCACGTTTCTCTTTATCTACGTGATGACTTTGAGGGATTTCAGTGACAGTGTTCACCTGTTAGCATTCTTTATGTGTGTAAGTGCTTATAATGACACTGCTTTTCAGATGTCACTTAAAAAAAGACTCATCATTGTGTTTAAAACATCCCAAATTGCTTGAAAGCTACCTTTAACATTGTGTTTGACTTTTAGAACCAGACCCAACATTCAACTGCAGCAAATCTCAAAGTCATTCTGTGTGAGGTATTGTCACAATACATAGCACGTCCCAGTCTCACTGAAGGGAAGATGGCAGCCAATATCCACCGGACATTCTGCTTTACTGACTCATCCCTTTTAGAGTCATTTACTCAAGAGCTCAGAAGTCAGCTCCATCAGGTGAGTGCCTAGGATCTTTCCTAACATCTGCAGCTAGTAACTGTGTTAATTCACACACGTTATTGCAGTGTTTGGAAGACAGAACGTGATTTCCCCTGGCTCGGAGTTGTTCATCTCTATACCAAAGTGCATATAGTGCATGTTGAGACTGAGCTAATTCTTGTGAGTGGGATTACCCCAAAGAACTTAAAGTTGAGTACACAGCTCAGAAAGACAAAGACATCCAGCCATCAGCTAGTGGTTCCTAAGGGTTCTCACCGTACCTAGGTCTTGTTTCTCTTCTTTATTTGCCCTGCTGCAGCAACAGGTAGATAGAAGTAGTGTGAGGATGTGGTGTAAATAAGAATATCTAAAGCTAGAGGGAGGCAATAAATTTAATCGTGTATTACCTCAGTTGTATAACTTCATGCAATAACTCCTGCATCTGATCCAACAATTCATGATTGAAGCAACACTTGTCTTTGGGAAAGCTATATAATTAAAGCAAATGAATCCTGTAAAGATAATGCCTTCTTTTTGACAGGGTGAGGACTGATATTAATTTATCTTGTATGCCTAGTCTTTGGACTCTTTGGGACATTGTGAATTGTAGGGCTTGTCTAAATAAAGAATTTATTGTACAATCTGGGGTGTGAAGGTAAAGCACTCTCTCAGTTATTACCTGTCACTAGAGTCCTTTAAATGTGTTGTTTGTAGAGTTGTGTACAAGTGCAGTGCAAGCTGAAAAACATAAAAAGACCCACTGGCAACAAGGGTTCTTGTTCTTAAATAATTTCTTGCATTGTTATTTGTTAAGGTGCAACACAACCCACAGTACCAGGCAGCATTCGTCAATGAAATGGTCTCGTTTCTAATGCTCGTCTCCCAAGTGCAGAACGACACCTCCCTGTGGCATCTCCTCTTGCTGGCCCCAGATGTCTTTCAAGGCAGCATGTTACCACAAGACATAATTGATTTCCTTCAGAATGCAAGCAGGTAAAAATAGAGAAAATGCCAGGACAGGCACTGAAAGTTTGTGGATTTGTGTATTGAACTCTAAGGACATGTTGCTTCTGGTCTTGAAGAAAGGACATTAGCTTTAAAGAATGATTTATTTGGGGGGGTGATATCGCTCCATACTAATGCATCTCTCAAGATCTCTGGACAGTAAGCAGTGTTTTGATTTTCAATGACTCTTGTGTTAATTTTTAAATAGGAACATGATATGAATTCTTAGTTTTCTTCCAGCCTGCTTAGAGGCACTGTCAAGCCCATGTGTAGATAGAAAGGGTGGTCAGTAACAGCCACTGCCTTTGGTTGAAGAAAGGCTCTCCTGGCTGGGAGTTGTTCTGCCACAGACAGCAGCTGGTCACTTCTTTCCAGCAAACCACAGAGCCAAATTCAAGTTATTTTGGAAGACCTCAGGCATTTGTAAGGGAACCAGAAATTCTTTTTTCTTTTTTGAAAAAAAATTGGTTGCATGATTTACTGCTGTTTTATCTTTCAAGATTGGTCCCAAGAAAGCAGAGAAGAGAGGGATCCTGGTTCTTAGCATATGGGGCTTTGAATACATGTGACTTTAAGAAGAAAGTACCAGTTATGTTCTTACTCAATTGCTATATGAAAAACAGCTGGCTTAACTGCTTTAATTAACTTTGCTGAAATATTTGATGCTGTATGCATCTAGGACAACAAAAACTCTTCTAAAATGGGCTATCCTTGAAATCCCTTTCCTGGTCCAGAGTTGGCCTAAACTTTCAGTGATACCTAGAAGATTTGAGTTACTCAAGAGATTAGGGGACTCTGTTCCAAATCATTTACTGGATATATGACAGACACTGCTCTGAATTATTCTGAGTAGTCACTTGTTACAGCACATGGATGACAGCAGGCAACTGAGTGTCTTCAGACATTTTTTTTTTCCCTTGGATACATGAGCAGTTGGGTAAAGATGCCAAAAGAGGTTGTAGAAACTTTGTCGCTTTGATTACACCCAGGCTTAGAGGGACTCATTTTTCATCACTGGCGTGTTGCCAAGGCACTTAAAAACCTGTACATTTAATATCGAGGTAATTTGCCATACTGCATTGTGAGAACTATTTGTAAGTCATAATGTCCTTATCCTTAAAGGAGTCAATAGTAGTGTGGCAAGAATTTTAATTTTATTCAGAAGTGTTTTGTCCATGCTGCTGTTTCAGTCATAGGATTATTGGCATTTGTCTGCATCTGCCTGAGAACCAGCACTGTTTGAGTGCCCAGGAATAATTAATATTTACTGTGCTGCTCTGCTTTGCTCTACAGCTGCAGAGCTGGGCAAAGTTATCACAGGCACAACAAAGGGGTGCTGAGCAAAGATTTATTGCAAAGAGATTGCACAAATAGTGTTTTTAATGATGCTTACAAAAGCACATCTTAGCTAGCCTGGCCATGTCTTTTACTCAGGCAGTACTGACCTCCTAAAGAAATGCTGTACAGGGAATTTTTTTGTGGTATAAATATGAAGATATAGAAGAAAAGAACTTTTGCTCATTGTGGCATCTGTATTAACCATGTAATAAACACCACCACTGTGAAAGAGCAACTTCAAATCCCTAAATTCTATAGAAAGTTTAGGAGCAAATTTTATTACCCACACAAACCTGGTTTACAGACTAAATTCACAAATGCTGCTGTTTGTTGCTTTAAGGTAGTTTTTCAGATAAGCACGTAAGCTGAACTTTTTCTCTAAAGCCAATGTCTGCAAAAGCTCTGCGTGTTCTATATGATATGTGTCCACTTCTGGCAAGCCTGTGCCTCCCTTCTCCTTGGCTCTGCCATTGCTCAGCTTCGTGTGTCATTTGTAACTGCAGATTCTTCCACCTTTTCCCCCTCTAAGACTCTTGCTAACAAGCCCCTCTGCAGAATGGAAATGGTGAGCACCAAGTCCACGAAACCTGCATGGAGACATTGTGTTAAATGAGGAGAAAAGAGATCCCTGGTGCTCTGTTCTCACTAGCAGTCTGTTCCCACAAATCAGTATGTATTTATTCATGCCACTGAAATCAGCTCAGCTAGGTTCTCTGTGTATCACCTGCAGAACTTCAGGCAGGCGAGAGATTGTGCATTTCACGGTGACCCTTTGCCTACAGTGAAGAGCTACTCTTTATACAGGAGAAGCAAAAGGGACTAATAATCACCGTGAAGTTTTCAGTAACCTGCACACATTGAAGAGAGTGGTTTTTTAAATGACTTCCTCTGTGATACAATACGCCTGATTATCAGCTTGTTCTTTCCTAGGACTGAAAAACATTCCTTGCTTCCCTGTCAGCCTGGTTATTACAGGATAAAAGAGGAAAGAAGGAGAATTGGAAATTGGAACCGTTATTTGTGATTGCTTCTTGCATCCACAGATGTTGTCCCCTAGGGATCCTTGTTCTCCCTTGGAGCCTTGTCTGCTCTCTTCTTGATTTCTTTTAGGAGGAGATTCACCCACAGCAGTGAATCACTGGCCTGGCATATCACCTGAGTGTTTTCTAAGCCCTATTACGAGGATTTAAGTGGTCTATAGATTTTGCTTAACCCTTTGAATATGTACATCTAATGAGGGCAACAAATATGTTTGTGCTAATATACTGCCACAGCATTCCCATCAAAGCCCTTTGTATTTTGTGCATGATCAAACAGATAATTAAAAGCAGGGGCAGTGTCTTGTCTGTCAGACATTTTAAGAGTGATAGGCTGTACTGCAGCTGTTTCCTATTTGAACACTTGTTTTATTTCTTCTCATAAACCCATAACCACAATTTCTTTTCCTTGCTGGTGTTTCTCCCCACTCCTCCTCCACCCCTTTAGTGTTGTGCTGGCAGTTCAGAATGTCTCTGCATCACTCGTGACTGATGATAGATTCGAAACTGTTCAGAATGGGGCTACAGATCCTTCATATTCCCTGAACTGCTTGGAGCAAGGTAAGACTCTTCCGTATAGTCATATCTCTGCTGAAAACCTGTGGTGCTGAGGAAAAGCAAACTGTATATATCAAGATGAGCTCTTCCTCTAAACCCTTGTTGGCTTACAGGAGAGGCAGAGTCCTTGATATCCACATCTAACTGAGGTTATGTGAACGGGCAAAGGAAAGATACAGCATCTAAACACTATAAGGGACAGATTGGTAAATGCTATCCATTCTCTACTTCTTGTTTGATGGAGATTGTGGAAGTTGGGGTGGATAAGAAGAAAGCAGATTAATGCAGTATAAGTAAGACAACATGGAAACAGCTAGTGAGAGGACATGGGGATATCAAGATGAGTAAGTAGTAAAAAAGCATTCCTAACTGAAGGGAAAGAAACAATAATAAATATTAGGCTTCATCACTGATGGCAAAGTGCTTCTAAAGCAGGAGGAGAGCTCTGTTAGCACCCAGAGCACAGGAGCATTGAGCTGTTCCTGAGATAGAAAATCATTTCTACAATGACAGGTAGCATCCTGACTTCCTTTGGAAGACCAGGAAGAGTTACATTCCAAAAGAGCAGTCCAATTTCTAACCAGGATCTTGTGTCTTCTCGTAGGAGCCTAATTTTGTATATGCATGTTATCCTTGACAGATTTGCCATACAGCTCTTCTCAGTTTCCAAACTAATGTGATCTTTACTAATATACTCTTTACATCTTTGTTGTAGATAAAGAAAAAAGTTTGGTGACCAGATATATTTGTAATCACTTTGTTAACCAGAAAGACAATCCAACTTTAGTATCTGAATTGGAGGAAGTTCTGAGGTAAGACATTAGCTAAAGGGATATTACTAACAGTATAATTCAAATCTATGATCTTTGCTCTAAATCACTTTACATTTCCACTTGCATTGATTTCATATTCACTAAAATACTTTTTTTTCCACCCTCAGAAAAATAAAGTCACCAGAGACTGGTGGAAAATACTCCAAGAGGTCCATTCATTCAGATGATTTAGAAGCCATACAAAAGTCTCTATATCATTTAAAAGGCTTTGAGAAAAAAATGAATAGAAGTGAATTAAAAAGCTTAAATGTATTCAGAAATTTGAAGAATGAAACATTACAGAAATTGTATGCAGTTCTTGAACTGGGAATGAATCCACATCATGATTATAAATTAAAGGAACCATATAATAAGGAAATAATTGATAAAATCTATAACTTCACATCATTGCAATTACAGAGTGACTTTAATGAGACTTCCATTTTCAATATAATGACCCAGTGGAAAGAAATTCAGAGTCCTTTAAAATTAGCTACAATGATTTGGAATCTTGTTCTGTTAAATAATTCTAATTTTAGTACAGCTCAAAATAAGGATGCTCTCAAAATGTTGCTTTCCACTAGCATGCCATCATTTCTGGAAGACTTAAGAGACCATTTCAATGGAATGCAAGAATTACCATCTTTGTTTTCTGATTATCTGCTTAAGCCTGTGTCCTACAGAAACTTTCCAGACCAGCTCCTAGCTTTCCAGAAGATGTTTTTTCTCATGACAGACACCAGCATAGGTTATCAGTACCTCCTGATGCCTGTGTTTGAACTGATGCGGAAAGTAGAAAGTTCCATGGGTGAAGCCTGGTGGGATGAGTTAAATGTTTATTGGCGCATTGGGGAAAAACTGAGATCAATGAAGTGGAGTAACACAGCCATCATAGCCTATGGGCAGTTCTTAGAGGTATTAAACAGCCATTTACAAAAGCTGAATAAGTCAGATAGTTTCTACAGTGAACAATTGGATCAACTGTCAGAATTTATAACAGCTGTGTTTAAAGAGTTTGGGGAAAACTCTGAAGCAGCCAATATCTCACTAGTCACTCAAGCTATACAAAAGACCTTGCACATATTAAAAGACTTAGAGCTGAATTATAATGTCAGTAAATTAAAATCTATAGATCTTTTCTTTAGTTTTGACAATAAAACCTTTGAGAGCTTGTCTGAACTTCTGAGGACAGGAATGAAAATCCTTCATAATACGAATGCCAGTGAAGCTTCCAGCAAAGAAATAATTAACTCTGTCTATAACTTAACACATCTTCTACTGCAAAAGTTCAGCCAGTCTTCCTTTCAGGACGGTACTTCACTAGAAGCAAAAATTTGGGAGTTCTTGCATTTAGCCTTGATTCCTTTCCTTGAGAACAGCAACCATGGTTATAGAGCATCCCAGAACTGCTCCGCTCAGGACGTGCTCCACGTAACACTTGAAATGCTGTTTGAAAATGCCACTCTAAACGAGTCCTTAGCCAGGAGCCCCTGCAAACCCCTCTTTGACTCCATGGGCATGGAGGGTGGAACACGGCACAATGACACTTTTACAAAGATGTTCCAGCTTGCCATAACAAACCTGAAACTGTCTCCAGAGTTTGCTGCTGTCTACAAGAACAGCAGTGAACGCTTTTCCAAGGAGCTGTCGTGCATCATCCAGTCTCTGCAGTTTTCTCTGAGTTTCCTTTCCAAATTAAACCTTGTCTCTGAGCTGGAAAGCTCTTGGGTAGAGGAGAAGGCAAGAGCTCTGACTGCTGTCACGGAGGGGCTGCTGCAGAGTAATGTCTCCTGCCCCATCCCAGTCCAAGATGTGGGTGGTGTGCTTCCATCTCAGCTTTTGAAGATGCTTGTTCCTTCCATGCTGAATGAAACAATACTGAACTCCCTGAATTTCTCTGGCAGTCCAGCAGACTGGCATAGGCTGCCTGTGTTTTCCCACCTATTACCGACTGTTTCCATGAGGAACAGCAGTATATATGAACTGCTACAGGTAGGCAGAAATGCTTCCAACCAATCTGAGTGGGGACAATTCTCACGGCTGTGGCATGCCACTGGCAATGTGTTGACCACCAAATGGAACCTAACGGAAGTGGATGAATATGTGAAACTCCTGGAAATTATGAAGAAAGCTCTAATTCTGGTGGACTTCGGAGTAGCTCCTGGGAAAACTTTAGTACATCAGATCTTTCGTAATTCTAGTGGAGGAATGAAACCCTCAGATCTGGATGATTTGTATAGGTCATTAAAACTCTTTTTCAATTCAACTTCTGCCACAAACAGCACACCAGACTTGGAAAGAATATTTGAAGAAATACTCCCACTGTATGAGGTTGGTGGTGAAGGATTAATGGTCTACCCGAATCCATACAGAGAAGAAAATCAAGATATTCTAACTATGGCTGCAGTGATTTGGAATCAGATCATTTTAAGCAGGACTCATTTTAATACAGAGAAAGCATGGGAGGTTATAAAAATGATTGCACTTCAGGCAGTCCCACTTGAAGACATTGAAAATTATCTGAGCACAAATGAAAAAATGTCATCATTATTTTCTGACTTCTTGTTGACCCCTGTGACTTCTGAAAATTTTGCAGAACAGCTCTTGTCCCTTGAGCAGCTTCTTCCTGACATGGCAAAGGTGAATATCAGTGATCATTATTTGCTGATCTCTTCTTTGTCTAAGCTAATGCAGAAACTTCAGAGTTCTCCTCATGGAAGGCAGGAAAATGAACTGGGTGCTTTCTGGCAGATTGCTGAAGTTCTTCAGTCCATGAACTGGAATAGCACAGACGGTCTCACTTCCCAGTACCTACTAGACGTGCTGGAAAATCAGTTCAATACCATGAAAAATGACTCCACTCTTCCTTTCAGTAAGGAACTGAAGCAGCTGTTAAACTTTGCATTCCCCATATTTGAGCTGTATGGTGAAGAAGACTCCAGAGGAGCCAACTTCTCCATATACTTGCAAGCCATGCAAAGAAGTATCTTAATTTTAAAAGATTTGCAGAAAAGTTATAATATCAGTGAGCTTGCAACTATCGACCTATTATATGATTCTTACAGTAACTACACCCAGAGACTGACTGAAATGTGGAGAGCCGGAATGAAAGTCCTTCATGACACTAACTTAAACAAAACATTTGAAGAAAAAATGGACATTATCTATAATTTCTCACATTCACTGCTGCAGAAGGAGTTCAGCCAGTCTTTCTTACAGCACAATACTTCACTAGAAGCAAAAATTTGGGAGTTC